TATTTATTACAGTTTAACATTATAAAATTAACAAAAATAATATAAAACTCATATTCTGGCGAAATAGCCATATGGCGGCCGAAAACCGTATATTCCCTTCTTGTTCTCCAGCCCGTTCGTGCATTCTTTCCAAAAATCGGGACTTTTTTAAAACGCGCGGGACGCGGGACAAATTGTTGAAAAGCGGGACTGTCCCGCCAAAATCGGATGTCTGGTCACCCTATCCATTCCTCTAATACAGATGGCACCCAGGTCAGTCTAGAAACAAAAACAGGACCGATGAGGAAACCAGGTGGTTTTTGCTGTTAGGCTGGCCGCCCCTGTTGTGGGGAGCCAGGTGTGACGGAGACCTCACACCAGTCCATTCGTGTGGCTGGGTTTCCCTCTGGCGGCTTTTCCTAGCTATTACCCAGAATCAAACCCTCGAAATATCTTTTTGGACTGTGTTGGTCTTCAGGAAGAAGAATCGGCTTAGGAGGGAGATGGACATTGGAAAATTAAAGTGCGTCACACTCACTTCCCTCTCTGGAAGCTGGTCTTGCAAGGAAGGTAAAGAAAGCCTTTCAAATTGGACAGCCATTCCACGTCCGGTTGAGAGTCGTTTTACGACAGTGTGCCGGGTCGCGGGGTTGCTTTCCGATTGACGCCCGCTCGATTTCCGGCAGCGCCGTGCAGGCAGCCGCCTGATGCGAATCGGCAGCCAGAGAAGTTTTAAGGTTCGAGTCCCAATACGGGAATGAGCCTCTTTGATATTTTCCGGGGTTTTTTTGGCTTTCCTGGACCTCGGAGGTGAGAGTAGGTTCAGCTCGAACAAAGGTGGGGTCTTCTGGGGAGAGCTTGAGCCCTTACGCCATAGTTTTGGAAAAACATTCTTTCCCACTCCTTCAACTCCTACGGAAAGGATAGTAGTTGAAACATTGAGCACTCACCCCGCGACCACCTTGGTGTTTAAGAGAAGAAACAGCATCCTACGCCGTTCTGCAACCTAGGGTGATGCAACTGAGACATGGGCGGGGTAGACAATGGGGGCCTGGGGAAGAGGACTATGAGCAAGTGCCAGCAGGACCTTGGGAGCGAGGGCGGGGCCGGGGAGGTGTTTGACGGGAGTTGAGAGGTGAGGACTGATCGATAAGACCAAAACCGAAAGGAATTGTCAGCTGTTAGGTTTTGATTTCACAGCTAGTACTCCTGCTCTCTCCCCATCTTACCAGATCCCTGCTCTTGTCCCACTTTGCCACCATGAGTTGAATTTACAGCTTAAGTAGTGCTGAATCTTGGTGGATAATCTGCCTTCACTTTCAACCACAGAGATCCCTTTTTTGGAGGAATGACGCGAGATGAAGATGAGGATGAAGAAGAGGAAGAAGGAGCTACGTGGAGCCCAAGATTTGATGGTCCCCAGTCCCCTGAGGAATTTGGTTTCAGCTTCAGCTTCAGTCCAGGAGGAGGGATGCGTTTCCATGATAACTTTGGCTTTGATGACCTAGTACGAGATTTCAATAGCATCTTCGGCGAGATGGGGGCCTGGACCTTGCCTTCCCAACCTCCTGGTGTGTGCCTTTCCCTAAGGGAGAATTCGTGCTTTCCAGAGGGTTGGCGGGTGAAATTAGGAGCCTGCAGGGAGTAGTTGGGGGATGGGAAATGTGAGACGACTTGGTGATTTCAGGGAGATTTAAAAGAATCCAGCCCAGGCCACCAAACAACAATGACAGCTGCAACTAGAAAATAGCTGGGCGTTGTGGCGCGCCCCTGTAATCCCAACTACTTGGGAGGTGGAGGCAGGAGACTCACTTTTTTTTTTTTTT